AGAGAGAGAGGAAAAGAGATGCCTCGTTTATTTCCCCTGTGTTATTATCAGAAGTTACTGTAAACTGTTGAATAATGTAGTTCATCTACTTTTAGTAGTTTGTTTAAATGTTTTAATTATGTTGTTTTTGTTTGTAGAAGTGCATAATTTCTTGATTTATTGTAAAATGAATCTGAACTTTTTGATCTGTTATGATGATAAACTGAAGCAATTTCTAAATTAACCAAATTAACTGAGTTTTAAATCGTCCTACTTAGTTTATGAGGAAATTATGAAGAGGAACAAATTAAATGATTTGAAAATGATATCTATGTAGGTGCTGATGCTGTTGACGGTTCTAGTGTTAACAGAAATTTAAATTAAATATGTGTAATGGCAAATGCCATATATGATTTTCTTACCTGGAATTCTGCCTTTTTGAACAGACTGAGTCCTAGCTATATTGTCTGCAGTTCTAGGGTTAATATGAATCTAATATGATTGTCATCGGTCTAAATTAGATTTCAAATGATTAACTGTGTGTGTAATGAAGATCATAGTGTGGGTTAAATCCATTTTCATAACCACTGTCTTTTAACTGATTTAAATGCGGAAACTGGGCTTATTCATCAGAATTTCGTATGACTTGACTTGACTTGACTTGACCTGAGCAATGACTTGACTTGACTTGCTTGACTCTCACCACAGTGACTTGGGACTTGCTTGATACTTGTAGGTCAAGACTTGAGACTTGCTCATGACTTGCACATGTAGGACTTACTCCCACCTCTGGTATTTAGCATAGCTATGCTTTTAACCCTCCTGTTGTGTTTGGTTCAAATTTGACCGATTTACTACTTTCATCAATCATAACTTTTTAGTTTTACATTCGATTGCATTAAGGCTTTATGATATCCTTCACAGTAGACATTTGAACATATTAAATTGCTGATCACCACTGTCATTGAACTTTGGATGATTTAGTCAACTTTGAAACACCCATGGTGTTCCCGCCATAAAGACAAGGAATTAGTAACCATCCGGATCAGATCAAACACACACACACACACACACACCAATTTGAAACATTTCCCGCTCTTATGTGCCCATCCCCCTGGCACACCCAATACATGTTCAGTGTCTATTCTTTGTATATTTACTGCAGTTGTTCATGTATACCAGTAGTCTGATACAATATGTACAGTTTGAAAGGGTGTTAAATGAAATGTGGTGATGATTAACGGTTTTTGTGTTAATGTAATAGCAGTTAAAACAGGACCGGTCAAATTTGACCGCGAACACCAAAGTAAGGGGGGGAAACGAATACAATAGGAGGGTTTTAATGTAACCATTGCTTATGACAGTGATGATATTTTAAATCAAAAAACATATTCCCTAAAATGTGGAAGCTCTGGGTGCCATACAAATGAATAGTTGATATTTTTTTAGGGCCACAACTTTGGCACTAGAGCACCTAGTGTTATCAAACGCATTTCAATGGTGAAACTATCCAAAAATATTCCATATGACAATATTTTCCACTACGATGAAAGGCGTGTAAGCCAACAAACCTTATTCTGGTTCCATCATGGGTAACCCCACCCATCCTCTCCACCTGCAGCTGGACAGACAGATAACCCCACCCCACCCCTCTCCACCTGGACAGACAGGAGCTCCTTCTCCAACAGACTGCTGCAGCTCCGCTGTCACAGGAACCGATACAGGAAAACATTCCTGCCCACTGCAATAACTCTGTACAACAAATCACCTCTGGCTGGCAGAGCCATGCTCCATAGCTTCTCTCTTCACAGTACATTTCACATATTCAGTGTAATATTTAATATTCCATCTGTCACATACTTATGTAAATATAATACCTTGCTTTATATCTTGTTATTGCTCATTTGTAAATTCAACATGTATATTTTCTTCTTTATTTCTTGTCTTTTTATTGTATAATGCCATGTGTTTTAATGCTGCTGCAACGCAAAGATTTCCCAAATTGGGATCAATAAAGTTCTATCTTATCTTAAACTAACAACCAGTGTTCCAGATGAGGATCATCTCTTTACAAAAATATTCAAGTGCTAACCCATATTGTTACTTCTAAATGAATTTATTTCCAAACGCATTATAATGCAGTGTGATGTAAACAACAAAAAGTACCACAGAAGTATGCTTAATTTATATTTATTCATCAATCAACCACATCAATAACATTGTTTTTAAAACAATAAAATTGTCCTCTCTGGCAATGATTTACTTATGTGTTTCACCACAATACAAGTAAAAGGCCACCATAAGGGTGTATGTTGACTCTAGAGTGTTGGGGTTAGTCTAACATGAAAAGCATGGACAACAGAACATAAAATCAAGTTATGCAAAAGGTTATAACATACAGTATTAAGAAATCATACAACACAACCATTTTTTTAGGATTTAACTATGTATATTAAACATGTACATTCTATGTGTAAATCAAATATAACAATTTATAACAATGTATTATTTGGTTTTGAGAACAACAATGAGGTGATTCACCAAATAAACTATTTGTTGTTTATCTCAATGTCCCTAATTATACATCCTAAAAGACTGTGCATTGTACATGTTGATTGAAGTACTTCAATCAATCAGGTTAATAGCTGGAGATCAAAAAGGAAATATAACTGACAAAGCAATTAAAGCAAGTAACGCAAAAGAAACAAAAATGAACAATTAGAGCAAAGCTGTTATTGGCCTGCAGTGTAACAGGTGCAGTCATATAAAGTTAATGACAGGTAAATCCTATAAGAGATCGAAAATAATAATGCATAGGCATCCCGTTCTGGGAAAAAAGGGAAAGACCTCCTGCTCTTGGACAATGATGTGCTCACCAAGTTGTTTGGTAACCAGCAAGATATACTTGGACATTTAGGAATTTACATTCTAGTGTTTCAAAAAGGATCAAAAGTGAATGGTTCATTGCTCAGGATGCATTCCAGGGACGCTGAGCATTTTGTTCAATAACATTTAAGTTGTGTACAAGTGAAATGTTTGGCCTGATGCTGCGGCATAGGGAAAAGTCATATGGTCAACATATTCAAGGGTGATCTTCCATTGAGGAGTATGAATACAATCTCTAAATATAAAGTCAGTAAAGTATTTACATTTCTGATAGCACATCAAGTCTTGGCAGATATTCGTGCTTGAGAGCAGCAGCAATCTGGGGAAATACAGAGAAACAAAAAAGAGGGGCAGATCAGAACCCAAATTTGAGGTTTTTGAATACACAATGTATGTTTAGCATTAATGAATACAAAAGTAACAGCAACATGTCTAGGTTGAGGCTAAATCAACAAAGATACTGTACATTAATTCCTAAGTAAATTACCTAAATGATGTTTCCTTCTTCATCCTCACTGGTGTCTGGACTGCTTAGGCCACTTTGACTTTCCTCTTCATGTTGAAGGAAAGAAGCATCAGGACCTAAAGCAGTCTTGTACTGCTGCAGTACCACCTGCAACCTCTCCGATGCCTCAGCATGCTTCCTTCTTAGGGTGCACCCAAGTCCTACATTCCCCTTGTCTACATCTGAAAATACACAACATATTGTTATATGGACATACTATAAAGTAAGATTACTTCACGAGGCCAGAGCACTTCAATGGAGTATATTCTCTCCCATGTACATATAAAGATGATAGTCACTGTCAAGGGACTTCATTATGTAAAATGGCCGGGTCGAATGGGTAAAGGCCATTATACTCCATCCAATTTCTGTGACCAAGAATGATTTGGGCTGACTTTTTTCCTTTAAAACTCATACTTTACAAGGTAGGTTAAGTTTTGCTTTCAACTTACCTTCCTCAGCCACCTTATTTTTTAGAGCAACTGCCATGTTCTGCAACCATGTGCAATGCTGCGCCATCTCCAACAATAGGATGCCTTTCTCCTCTTGCAGTCTCCGTGTAAGCATCACTTGATCCAGTATCTTTTTCTTGGCTGTAAAGTTAGCTAAAATCCAATCACAGTTATGTATACATGAGTCACATTTTCATTATAGCATAACAATATGTTTAAAACTCCAAACATGTACTTTCAAAATAATCAAATGTATACACAATAAGAAAACTTAAGATATACCCTTAAACTAAATGAACGTTTTAACACTCTACATGATATGTGCATAACTCAGCAAGGTATACCTTCATATAACAGAACTTCAAATTAATTATTATGAAATATCTGAAAACTGACCCATGCCATGAACTTCCCACGGCCACAGCGCGGACATGATGCTCCCTCCAGAGAGGGAATGCTCCACCGCAGCAACATCTATGCCTCTGGCAGAGTCGTGTACCAGCTGGTTGTACTTCAGTATCTCCTGCTTAAGGCGCTTTTTGTCGTCTGCAAGCTTCCTTCGAAGTCGATGGCGGAGCTTGCTGCTGTCTGAAAAATACATGAGGTAGAGGGATAGGGATATGTGACAAACTATATTTGCAAGTGCAAAAAATATATATAATTCAGTAGGTTGAATCTGCAACCTAAAACATTATATTGTTATACCATTCTGTCGGTAAAGGGATTGCTTCCGCTGCCTCACACTTAGGTAAAGCCCCTCAATGCTTTGCTGCAGTGCTGTTTGAAGGATGTCTTCAGAAGTACCTGATGTTTCTGATGTTCCTGTAGAAATAATAGTGGCAGTAAAATGTACTGTTACACAACACGTAACGGTTTTGAGAAACAAAGTTGTGCAACATATTTAACACCTTTTAACACAAATTGATGGTACAACTATGGAAACTGGAACATGTCAGAGATAAACATGGACACATAGTTGGCTTGCTATTGCTTGAAGATTATGTCCCCGTCTACTGAAATCCAGTGAGGGTCTCATTACGTGGCATGAAAAATCAGCCTTATATCATTGGCTGCTCTTTAGGATCAAATCTGTAAATTCAAACAGTCATGGACAATGATATGTAGCTGGTGTTATCTCGTCGTGCTTACCAGATGCCCATTCCTTCACGTCGGAAATCCACGTCGACACCATGTCATCTGAGACACAATGTAGCTCCGTCTTGAGTTCCTCAAGACTTGCAGTCTCTTCCAGGAGCCTCTTACTAGTCTGATAAACAGTAGACGATGGACATTTATCAAGATTAAAACTTGCTATGATTAACAACAAGCCATGTGCAAATGACAAAGGACACAACACCTTTAATAGGAGGCTCACCTTCACATATCTTGTGGAAAGTGCCTGATGAAGGGAGTCACCTTTTTTCCTGTTCCATCCCATAGCATGCACTGTGAGCATGTCCAGTCGTGCTTTTGAAAGCAATAATGAGGTTATGATGTGTCATCTAAAAAAGTATGCAATAATAGGGCAAAACCTTCCACTCACCTGCTTTGGACATGTATTTGGTTGTCAGAGCACAACGGGACAGGTAGCTGTTGACCTGCTCCACCTCTTCCCCGGCGGTCATCCCTGCTCCCTCCTGGTTCTTCCCACTCCATATAATCTGATGGTAAAAGGTTGCTGGAATTGTTGTGCAAAGAGGCTACATACTACTATACTAAACAGTATATCTTAGATATTTACTACTTCAGTATTATAAATATAAAAAATATAAATGTACGTGACAAAAATATTTCACATACCTCGCATTTGGTAGCATGGGCTCGAGCATGCATTACACTGAGGAATGGCTTCATGGTGGTCAGCTCCTGGAGAGCAGGAAGGACACTTGCAGCTTTCTCCATGTACGGCCAGTACTTGCAAGCCACATCCATGGTGAAGAACTTGGCTTTGGCTGGCATGAGTTCCTTTTGAAGATACAGGGGGTAGGCGAATATCTCCCCCCTGTACATATTTAAGGCCTTCAAAAGAAACCCATGGCGACATACAGCCACCTCCATCCCTTCTTCATCCAGCTTAGAAGCCCTCCTTGACGTCTCCCTCGCTGCTGTCCACTGGGAGTCCCCACATGTGCCTCTTCCCTGGGTCTAAGACACGCATTACATCATGACAAATCAGTTAAAAGCAATGGAATCACGATCTACACCATTTGTTCTAATTATCTGATTTTGGAGTAGATGGTAAGGAGAAGTAGCTGAATTTGAAGAAAGTCTAGGTCGGATATACATGGCTATTTTTGTGATATACCTATAAGGTAAAATGACGAATAAAAACTTGCATTTTTCAGTGATCTCTGTATTTTGTCGACAAATGCAGCCACCGCGCTGTCTTCTGCTACAAAGAGCCCATTAAAAAAGGCGCTGCCATCAGAACTAAGGAAAAAAAGATTAGCAAATATATCCATGAAATATAAACAGTAATCAAAAAAGTTAAATAACAACATTGTAAAAACAGCACCTTCCACTTCGCCGAAAGCGATACAGCTTCCTGTTTCCATCGGCAGAAACAGCCAACATCTCCGGCGTGCAGGCAGGGCAGATGAAAGGAGCACCACAGCAGAGCTGGTCTTCCTCATACGAGGCATAGGAGAACTCCAGAAAGCTGCGCTGCAGTGCATCTCCGTTGACAGGTCCAGACTGGAAGATAATTACATATATTGCTGTGATTTTGTCTATTTACGGAAATGTTATAATGTAGAATATGGTAACGAATATTTATACTTACTCTTCCTCCACACTTTGTGCGATGCTCCAGCAGCTTTGCAAAGGCCTGTCTGGAGAATCCCGGAGAGATGACCTTGAGCTCTTCAAAGGAGCTCAGGAGGTCCAAGGTGTAAAGTGTGGAAATACTGACCGAAGCTGGCCAGTATCCACTCTTAAGGAGGACTTTCAAGTCGGGGGTCCACTGCTGCTGGCAAGTTTGACAGACATATAGTGGCAGATGCAAGTCATAACGCCCTTGGAACAAGTAAATAAACATAATTAAGACACATTTTACAACAGTTCCATCTACAAATAGTCAAAGATTAACAGATATTACATGAAGGTTTTACTCCAATTGGAAGCACAATGCCTCAGCCCACAACAGTAAAAATATAACAACAATTCAATAGAAATCCAAATATATATATATATTTGTTTACCATTGATGGTAATTAAAATCACTGGTTTGCCTGGTACCACAGTGAAGTTTTTGCCTTTACAGGAGCAGTTGGGTGCCTTCACAGTTGGCAATATGCAAGCTGTCAAAAAAAAAAGAAAAGCACTAATTACCATTATCTGCTGGCCGAAGAGACATGTGAACATCAAAATGCAAGTTTGAGAGAGCATACCTTGGTCATGGGTGTCATATCCACCTTCCACTCTAACAACACACGTTGTTGGACTAATTGGTTTAAAAAACCCATTCATTAAACTGTCCCTGTTGTGGAGTGGCTGTTTCTTGTGATGAAGTACATCACAGTCTCCACAGAACCACTCCTCGGGGAGACACTCTCTACACCTTGGGAGGAAATACAAAATTATTCTAATATCCTCTAATTACTTTCATTTTCATGTGGGTTTTCTCTAGGTATCCAGTTTTCTAACATCCCAAAAGTCATGCATGCTAGCTGAAATAGCAGAGCACTGAGCATTAATACTGAACAATTACAATTAGGTAAAGTAATTTAAATAAAGGTAAATGTTATCTCACCTAATAACAGCCGGCTCGTGGCAGAGGCCACACAGGGGATGACCAACAGCCTCTTTTTCTAGAAGGCATTGTAGGTGGTGTGGTCTCGCTTCTTTCCAGCGCTCTGAGGCTTTCTGCTGCCGAAAAGACCAGGATGAGGCAGAGCTTCTTTGAGGCTCAGGAGGAGGACATGAGGAAAGAATGTCAGAGAGTCTCTCCATATTCTTTTCTGTGAACAGAATGGGAAACTTTAACTGTAAATGACTATATTTAAGATGAACACTAAAAATCAAGGGTCATTTCTTTGCTCAGTATGGAACTGGCCAATATCTTTACTGAATTACATTCCTCGTTCGAGTCCTGAACTGTCAGTTGTGTATAAGGTTATTTTCTCTCACTAACACAATTTATGTAAACATTGATTTTAGTTTTAAACTTAAAGCTATTTTTGTGATTTACCAAATTCATGTTGTGCTGAAGGTTCAGTACGCAGAACCTCCACACTGGATGACTGGAAGCCCTCAGTCGGGGGGGATGTGACTGTAAAACATCACACAGAGGGTTAACAACAGATAATGATGATTTGTATTATCTACCTATTGTTTAAAAGCTTGTGAAATTAAATAAAGCATAGTTCTTATGACACCAGTGGGAATGTCTCCGACTGTAGTGTCACTATGCGTTTATATATTGGAATTATTGTAGACCCTCAACAAGCAATTACTGTGTTTTAATTCGATTTTCCAACCATTTACTTAGTAAATTCATAAAAATGTAAAATAATTGGGATTTCAACCTGTAGCTGAGCCTTGGCGTCGCCCTCCACGCCTTCCTCTCGGCTTGCCACGTCCTACACAGCCCCTTTTAGGGGACTGTAAAGTGTCTCCTACAGAGCGTGCCCGTTTCCTCTCCTCAGCTGCTTTCTGTGACCAAGTAACAACTCATGTAAGGTTGATGTTGCTGATAAACTGATACCATATGACAGTGGACAAATAAAAGGAAATTCATTCACTTGAAGAACATTTTTGCTTCAAGTTTTTCCTACCATATCCAACTAATGAAGTAAAACAAGTTGAACAAGCTTTATTTAGTAAGCCTCTGCCCCCCATGTTGTAATGATGAACTGTTTTGCAAAGGCCCTATACATTGATCCAAAATCCAGTTACTCTTGGCCTGTTCAGCATTTTTTGGATAAGAGATAGTGCCACATTCAAGTAGGAAATGAATGAGGTCATATGGGTTAAAACACCAACCTTAGCTTCAGCTAGCATGTGTTCATGCTTCAGCTCAAGAGCCATGCGTTTCCCTTCTTTGGATGTGGGATTATTGGGGTCTGGGTTGTGTTTTGTTGCCATTGCAACACAGCCAGCCAGCCAGCCAGCCAGACAGACAGACAGACAGACAGACACAACAGATATGCAAACAAACAGCTGCTGTATGAGACAGACAGAGATAGTGAGACAGATTGTAAGATTGAGATAGATAGATGAAGAAATAGATAATGAATGATAGACAAAGATAGAGACAATAACTATAAGAAAGCTAGGTAGATAGACAGAGAGATAGGTTGAGTTTGGCTCTTAAAAGTGCCGTTGGTTTTATGATGGTGTAGATCAGTGTATGGGTTTGTGGTGTGGGTACAGGAGCTGCAGGAGAGAACAGAAAAAGTGAATTATGTAGTGAAACTAGCTTTTTTAAATGCACATTGTGACGGTTTAACTACTTTAGACAGACTGAGTGAGTTCATTTACGTGTTTCCTGTTTCAGGTGAGTAACAAGCACATGGACTATGCCCCTCCCCCCAAACATATATTAAAATGTCGGCTCGGCAGCGTTAGTACTGTCATGTGTAAAACAAAGCGATTAAGATAACGTCTGTAGCCGTAATTAAGACAAATATTTTCCACACACCACTTATGAGCTGATATAAATGTAGCTAAACTAGTTTAAGCTTATGTTGAACGTGAGCTAGCTAGCTAGCCGCCCGCAAGAATAATTTCACATTAATGTTGCTTTGCTGATTATGGCGAAAGCATTTCTCAGACTTAGAACAGTTCATTATGTATGATGAACCATGCGAGAAAAGGCTTAAAAAAAAGCCCCAATTATTAAATCTAAGCAAAACATGCATCAGACTTTAGTGACACAACTTACTTTGTCAGAGGATGGATCGCAATGCCGGTGGCAGCGGTCTTTGGCCAATAGGTGGTGCTCTGAATTATGTCATTTCCTGTACCGATTATACAATAAAATATTAATACATTTCCTATATTTTGACACAATAACTCTTTAATAACCTAAGTAGCCTACAGACAAAAACAAAAAAGTATATATTGCCTTATAAAATGCAGAAAGGTTTAAACATCTAGCATGATAATAATAAAAAAAGACTAATGATATCTTAAACCTTAATAAATAAAATGGAAAATTAACCGACAACAACAATTTAACATAAATAAAACAAGGATTAAAACAAGGATAAGTTTGACTCAATGTTGTGTAAAGTACCCGTTATGGTTAAAAAATAAATACAATTAAAAAAAACATTGAAAATAATACAGCTTCTGGCTTCCGACTGTCTCCCTTCTCCTGGCAAATATCCTAAACCTTAATAAATAAAATGGGCAATTGATCGACAGTAACAATTTAACATAAACAAAACAAGGATAAGTTTGACTCAATGTTATGTAAAGTGCCCGTTATGGTTAAAAAAATATAAACATTAGAAAATAATACTGCTTCCGGCTTCCCGAGATACGAAGAGGAGACACGAACAATTCTTCCACTTGAAATGCATTACTTTGAAAATCGTGCTTTCTGACACGAAAGAAACGTGTGCA